CTTGCCCGCACTGCCCTGTTCTAGTGTCGCCCTCCCGGCCCCTTCCCTCCTTTCCTCGTGCATGGGCCCTCCTCTAGGTGCCCAGCCTGGGCTCCTTGCTTGGGTCCTGGCCCCACGTCCCGCTGCCCCCCTTGAGCGCGCAGCGCGTCCCCCGCACTCTTCCCTCCCTTGGCCCCTGTTTGGTCCCAGTCCCTGCCCGGCTCCTTTGCCTGATCCCTTTCCCAGGATGCTCCCTTGGCCTCCCGGCCCTGAGGGCTCCCTAAGGGGCAAGGTAGCCCTGCCCCTCGCCTGGAACCTTTGCCCTCTCCCTGCCCGCCAGCTCCCCAAGCCTGGCCCCAGGCAGTGGACCCGGGCCTTGAGCCTAGCTCCCCCTGCCCCATGGCCTCCCCTGCGGTCCCTCCCCAGCCCTGTTGAGTCCCCCTGAGACCCGGCCTTGGCCCCGGCCCCACCCCCACCCCCCCACCAACCCCGGGGCTCTCCATTCTAGGGCCCGGCTCCTTGCTTGAGCCCCGGCCGCCCTGCTGGAGGACCCTGTCCCTGTCCCAGGATCTGCGCCCTCCTGCGGGGGCCCACACCTGCACCTCCCCTCTATTCCCTTCGTGCCTTGTAGCCTTGCACGAGGGCCCTTGACCCTCCCCTCCCCTCCCCAAGCCTGGCCCCTGGCAGTGGACCTGGGCCTTGAGCCTACCTCCCTCTGTCCCATGGCTTAACCTTTTTTGCTCAACTGTTTTCCTATAGACTAAGGGAACCTCCTAAGGGTTAGGGGAACAACTATCGGTTGTTAAGCACATAACAAATACCATTTTCCAGAGTAATTTATGGGAGCAGTTGGTTAAAAGAAAGTGCCTCCCTCTTGCAGTATTTTTTTTAAAATACATCAAGTACTTCTGAGTATAGGAACAGTAACGGAAGATTTTAAACTGGCTTGTGAAGGCTAACTATGCAATCAAAGGGAACGTGGATGTTTTGTACTAATCTCCTCATGTCTTTTTCTCATTCCTACAATCTGATTTGCTAGTGTTTCTGATTCGCAAAGGAAGGGAGCATCCAGGAGGGAATGGAAGCAGGAGGTTGGGAGTGTTGGGTGGCCAATATGGAGGTAAATGTAATTGGGCCTTTCCCTCAGTGCCATTAGTCTACTGATCAGCTTATATACCCCTTAGGGTATTCGGGAGGAGTTTTCAGAGAAGGAACTTTAGGATTTTCGCCTGAGTGTAGCTCAGGCCATAAATCACCATTGTTCCATACTCCTTCTTCCACCTCCACACATTCAAGGAAGATCAGGACTAGGGACACTGTGTAGTCTCGCCAGTTGCTCTCTGGCTCTGGACAGAAGAGTAGGAAGCGGCTTCAGCTGACCCAACACCTGTATTTAACAGGTGATTGTCAGCTTCCTAGGTGAGGAAACGTTTCACCCTAGTCTTGAAGAGTGGCTGCTGCACTAACTGTATTTAAATAGCCGACAGATGCCCATCATCCTCCAAAATGAAAGAGACAGAAAGATGCACCTCAAACAGATATGGGTTGCATCAAGAGGAGCTTACCTCAGTGTGGACCTCCGTGGAACCTCCAAGTATGATATCGCTGGTTATCAGTGAGCATTCCTGCTTCCCCACATTTTGAAGTTTGAACATTAGAGAAGCATGCTGAGAAAAGCATATGAAGCTGGGTTTATTTAAAAGACTTCTCCTGCGAGGGACAAGGGGGCCACAGCTGGTATCCTGGGATCCCAAGAAGCCAGGTGTTCTGCCCTTTTTATATGTCCTAGGCTTCCTTTGTTCCCCTCCATTCCCCTCTTAAATTTCTCCTTCCTGTGTACTTGGCCTAGTAATGCTTGGTGGGATGGCCAAAAGGTGGGAAATAGGTGGGCTGAACAGGAAGGGCAGGGTTGAGTAGACAAAAACACATTAACAACATTATAGCTCCCTGTAGGGCAGGGAAATTTGTGGGACTGTTTACCTTAGCAACAGGTTGGAGCAGGGGCAGATCTTGATAAGATGCCTCAGGTGATAGTCACCAAGTTCCCAGACTCACTCCAAATTGGCCTCCTCGATCCGACCTGACTTGATTTACCTATCTACACTGACTGCCTATCTAATTGTGGCTTCAGCACTCTTGGAAAATCGTTCTTTAACTCCCAAAGTGTTCCTGAAACTCTAATGCCAAAAGGAATCACCTGCTCTTACTTTAGCAGGAGATTCTGATTCAGTAGGTCTGTGGGACTCCTGAGAGTGCAGTTCCAGCCAGCCCTCAGGTGAAGGCCTCCTAGGAGGGAACAGCTCACAGTAGGCAGTAGACTACAAACCACAGCTAGTGGGACCCAGGCCCACAGGGCAGAAAGTGGGCAGGCAATGACAGCCTTATCTGTTTTCCATTCACAAACAGGACCCTGTTTCTGGCTGCTGCAGCACACCAACCACCCTTGAAAAGTGAAGATCTTTGCTTGGTGAGGTGTGAAGGGGTGTGGTTGGAATGCAATGTTAGGCAGGCAAGAAAACACAAACTTCTGCCTCTTGATTCTGCTTTGGATCAGTGAGACACACTGGTCTTCAGCATCCTGGTGCTCCAACATCCACCCTTTCAAATCTTAGGATATACTCTGGGTATTGATGCTGCTGGGAAAGAAAGTTTTATTTTAGGTAGTAAAAATTTCTTTTACATCTCAGTAACATTGTTTTCATTTCAGTGGCCTTTAGTGATTAATAAATACACTCTACAATTTATCATGGTCTCTTACTTAAGTTATGACTTTAGATATTTTTCTCTATTTTCTAAAAACCTTTTTATAAACCTAGAACATTAATATACAGTGGGCGATCAAGAGTCTTTTTATATCTAATGGCGGTAAAAGAAATGTAGAGACAGGTTATCCAAACACTTTCAATTGCTAATCAAAATTAAAATTAAGTCTGTTCTTTTTTAAATTTTTTTATCGTTGTCCATGGATACAATAACTTTATTTTATTTATTTAATTTTTTATGTGGTGCTCTGGATCCAACCCAGTGCCTCACACATGCTAGGCAAGCCTTCTACCACTGAACCACAACCCCTGCCAGTTCCTTGATTCTTCAGGAGACCTTTTTTTCATATTTCACCCTCTGCCTTTCATATTGCCCTGTAGTTTTCTCACTCTTAATAAAACAAGATAAGAGGGAAGATGTCAATTTTTCATAAGAAACGATATGCTTTCAATGACAGACATAGTGATAACTCACTTATGGGATTGTGAATGATAGGAGTGGGATAGTAGCCAGGGCACAAGGTAGAAGCTGGTGCTGGTAACAGCTTAAATTTGAAAATGGCAAGGCAAAAGTTGGGGCTTAACCTGAAGGCAAATGGGCAAAAAAAGGGCTTTTGTCTTACCATTCACTGAGTGTTTTGGTCTTCTGGTTTACAACTGACTGACTAAATTCATGAAATAACTTCTTACTTTTTGTTTCTTTTATTTGAACAGGGGATAAAATGTAATTATGAAAAATTCCCTAGTCTGAGGCTGTTCCTCAGTGGTAAAGTGCTTGCTGCACATGTGTGAGGCACTGGGTTTAAACCTCAGTACCACATAAAAGTACATAATGACACTGTGTGTTCATCTACAACTAAATAAATATTTTTTTAAAAAAATCCTATAATCACTTAATATAAATCTCATTATCTTATAGACCAAATGAGGCTGATTTGATTTGAAAAACTTCCTAAAGGTCTAGAAAATGAAGGGCACAGATGGAAAATATGCCCACACTAAGACACCACTATAGCTGGATATTCCAGGTTCAGTCTGGCCACCACTCCACCTTGTGCCTTTCAACCCAAACAAGGATGGTGTGAATATGCACGGCTCCTGTGTGGGGCTGGCAGCACAGGGCAGTAGATCTGAAATAGAAATGGGTTTCAGAGACCAAGAAAGCAGGAGCAGTCTGTGGGAACACCCCTGGGGGACACATGTGGCCTCCAGCAGGCTCTTCTTCCCTTCTGTACTTTTGCATACAGGGATCTACTGGGACTAGGACCTCATCTGCAGTAGCTTAGGGATGGCTTGACCTGATAGGTGCTTGTACAAAAGCCTCCAATCCTATCCATAAGGGAAGTCATTTCTGTGACTTAAAGGATCCTGCTCAGCAACCCCTTAGGTAAGTGGATTGGTTCTTGAGTATTCCAGGCTTTCCCAAGGTGGGGAATTTCCCCCCACATTGTGGTCCCTTTCCAGGTAGAACTCTAGGACTGCAGAATCCCACAGGAGAGAAAAAAGTTTAGTTTTATTCATCTTTGTTTTTTGTATGCTTTTAAAATTCATCTATTGACACATATTTACAACAAACATTGAAAGGGTTCATGTTATATCTTCATTCATACAGAGTGCATTGGTCAATTCCACCAACTTGTCTTCCATCTTATCCTCACCCTTTCCTAGACCCTAATAATCCCTACTCTACATTCAAGTCAACTTTTTGTTTATACAATTCTACATTTGAGAGAAAATATACCATACTTGTAGCTGTTTCCCTAACAACTGCCCGAAGTAAGCACTCTGAATATGCTTAAGTGAATAATAATGCAGAGTTGTTGACATTGAAGGTAAAAGGATCACTAAACAGAGGAGCCTGTGTTTCCATAAGATGTAAAATATATATGCTCCTAACACTTTTTTAATAACCAATTTCTGGTAATGAGGCAACAGTGCGCCATACCTGTAATCATACCTATTAAGGAGCCTGAGGAGGGAGGACTTAGTTTTAGAAAGCCTGGGAAATTTAGGAAGACTCTATCTCCAAAAGAAAATACCATTAAAGGGGTTTGATAGAAGAATGTGAAAAATCCTTATACATTAGGGAGATGTTATAAAGGGCCACAGTTATGCATTTGTTCTTCATTGGGGTTATGCTTCTAGGATAATAAATAGTATGATCATATAAAAATGATTAAACCGTTACAAAGGTTATTTGTTGTACTATGTCTCAGGAACTGTTGTTACTTTGCTCATATTTCCTTTTTTCTTTTTCAGCACTGGGAATTCAAGCCAGGTCACTAGAACAAGGCTCCATCTCCAGGCTTTTTACCATTTTGAGAGAGGGTCTCCTTCAGTTGCTCATCTGACCTCAAACTTTCATTCCTTCTGCCTCAGCCTCCTAGTTGCTGGGATTACAGGTGTGTGACACAAATATGCTGGACTGACCTGTGGTTTCTTAAAATCCTAAAACATATTTTTAAAAATCAACAATTTTGTTCTCACTTCACAGATTGAACAATGTCCACCAGCTGTGCCTTAAAATTTTCAAATTTAAAATGACACTTTAATCTATTAACGGTTGAGACAAGAATTTAAATCTGAACCATATTTGTTTATTTGATATTTGAAGTCTATAGCTTTCCATCCCTTTCCCCCGCCCACAACCCTTCTCTTCCCCCTTAGTCCTTATAATTTAGGAATTAATCAGTAGAGAAACAAAACAGGTAGCTCAGAATTCTAGTCAAGATTGGAGAATTGATCTCCATCTTTTCTCCAAACAGTCCTCTATATGGAGGACTCAGCTGCAGGATTACCTATGGTTTGATTTGGCAAAATGAGTTAAGCCTTTGTAGAAGCAGAGGTACATGCCCTGAAGAAGAACTGTGAACATGGAATTTCACATATACAAAGTAAACAGAGAGTCTGGCATATCATAATGAGTAAGCCGTTGTGAAATAGTTTAATCTTAATCTATTTAATCTAATTATTTAATTAGTTAATCTAATTAATTACTTATACAAATTAGATTTATTATAATTGCATCCAAGATGATTGCTGTTCCTTTTTTCTTTTTTTTAATTTGTTTTTCCTAGACATCCAGGACAGTGAATATAATTGCTTTTCAACCCAAGTTCATCAGACCCAACCTTGTAAGCAATTTCCTGCCAAGAGTACCATCATCACCCAACATAATGAACTCTACCTTGAAATTGTGCAAGAGGGCCATCAGTAAACACCAAATGCTGAGCAGCCACCCAATCCTTTGCCTCCTCTCTCAGCCTTGCCACTGCTTCTTCTGATCTAGAGGACAAAGTCATGGACCATTCGCTCCTTGTGAAGCAGGCTCTGGAATCTGCAGAGATGACACTAAGATCCCAGTTGCCTTTGACACTGAGCTTAGAAGATTCTGGGCAATGGTTCCCCCTTCTGCCTCAACTGGGAGAACCCTGGTGGGAAAGCCTATATTTCCATTGGAAACTGCTCTCAAGGCCCTGGGGGCCGCTATATTGGGTCTGCCTCCACCTGGTCACTTGCCTAGAGCCCACACACCATAGAACCATCCCTAGTTCTACCTTCCTGCCTTTCTGGAACCCTGTGCCCATGACACCAAAGAACTCAAATTCATCCTCAGGAGAGTGCCATGCTGCAAAGCAACCCAGCAGTCACCTGCCCTGGAAGTTTCTGTTGGTCAAATCCATAGTCTTAGAGACAGGCTCCCCAGAGACATGCAGACTTTTAATCCTGACCCATGACCACTGAGTCCTAGGAGTACTGAGCGGTCAGACTGGTAGATTTTATTTCAACTTCTGTTGCCGAAAAATGTAAGATGTATCACTTACCAAAGTCTCCTTGTTTACTTTCTAATAGGCAATCGATGTTATTTTTAGAGACCCTCATAAATATTTGGTTCCCTTGCTCAACAGGAGACAGAATGAAGAGATAAGAGAGGATGTAGGAGTGCTGCAAGGGATGGGAGACAGCTCTGATTCTGAGCTGTGCTGTGGACTTCACATCAGAGCCTTAGAGAAGGTCTCCTTTGGTGCACAGAGGTGTGTAAAGTATCCAGGGAAAGGAATGCAAAGGAGCCCCAAATTCTGGCCTCAAACAAATCTTTCCAAGGAAAGAATGTGTGGGATGGCAGAAGTCCCTTAGCTGGGAAGTGTGTCTCTTTGCATAATATTTGTATCCTGCATCTACCTAAGGAAGGGCCTGGAGTCTCCAGTGTCTAAGACACCCACAAGGCTGTCCCTGTCCAGCACAGCTTCTCTCAGACACTAGCATCTCTCAGACTGGTGTCACTGAGATCCAGTTTAATACCAACCAGGGAGAGGAGGTCATAAAAGGCAGAATGTCTGCCTCTGGTCCCAGGATCCCTGTGGTAATGATTTAACATATATAGAAAATGAACAAATGTCTCTTTAAATAATTTATTTCTTGATGAAAAGGGATATACAAAAGAAAAACTGGGAAATATCTAGGTGAAATTTTTGAAAAACATGTTTTCTTTTACCTGATATTTGCTCAAAGGAAAATTATATAAAACTAACCTTAGAAAAACATTCTAAAAGCAGAAAGATTTTAAATACCTTTTATGTAGAATATGTATTTTTAAAATATTTTTTTCAGTTGTAGATGGACACAACATCTTTGTTTATTTCTCTTTATGTGGTGCTGAGGATCAAACCCAGGGCCCCACCCATGTTAGGTGAGCACTGTACCTCTGAGCCACATCCCCAGCCGAACAGGAAGTGTATTATTTTATGTATAAAACCTAAGTCCCTTCTTTTGGGGTTGTTAAAAATGAAAGAGATTATAATAAGCTCAAAAGCACAAAGTGGAATTTAAAAGCACGATTTTATTACTTTTGTCTTCAGGAACAGACAGTGAACACACACAGGTTACACACAAGGGATAAACAAAATTAGCAATCTGATCAAAAAGCAAAAGCAGATTTCAGACTGAATGTCTCTCAAAATCACACAGCAACTGACCCATAAAGAGAGAGTTTCAGAAATTAGAAAAGACTGGACAGGCAGCCATCAGCACTAGAGCAAACCTCTACAGAGCCACAAAGACCCTGGCAAATGTCAGAATACTGGGTCATTCCAAGTGTTTGTCGGGAATGTGTGCATGCCGTACTGCACACCACTATTGGAAAGTAAATGCTGCATTCACCCTAAAGAACAATCTGGCAAGTATCGGTAAAATTAAGGTCATTCACTTTTTATGGAACAATTTTATTGATGGTCACCTGCCCTAGAGACATTCTCCCACAGGTTCATAGAGACAATTATGTGTGGTTATGGGGGACAGCAGCAATATGAATGTCCACTGCAGGACAATGGAGAGTTAGGGTGTGATCAGAGGCTACTATGTCAGAGTTTAAAGCAGCAGATGAAATGTACATAAAAAGATCTTAGTAACTTGCAGAGGGGGAGTTTGAGTGCAGATTAGTGGTAGAGTGCTTGCGGGCATGCATGAAGCCCTAGAGTCAAAAAAAAAAAAAGAAGGAAAGAAAGAAAAAGAAAAAAAAAAAACAGAAAATGTTAAAATTTCTTCTAAATTCAATTGGGTATGTCCCCTGAAACTTTTTACATCAATTAAAAATATAATCACCTGAAGAATAAATCACGCCTCTTCCTGCAACTTGTCAGAGGTGATCTGTGAAAATGGTTTACTATTGTCTTGATACAAAGAGCTCCACAAAATCGTGCAAATCAAGAGGTTCAAATTTTTGTGTTCACTTTTAGAACACAAAGAAACTGCCAAGGCCATCAAGGATATGCATATCCAAATGGCCAAAAACTATCTGAAAGGTGTCACTTTAAAGAATCAATGTGACTGGGCATAGTGGTTCTTGCCTGTAATCCCAGCAATTCCAGCGACTGAGACAGCAGGATTCCAAGTTCCAGGCCACCCTTGGCAACCTAGTGAGACCTAACTCACTAACACTGTGTGCCATTCCACTGTTAAAATTGGTCGGTGTGTCGAGGCCAAACAGTGGGGCTGACATAGGTCCATTGACCAAAAAAAAAAAAAAAAATGCTGAATTTTGGCAGACATGCTTACATATGAAGAAAACAATGCTGAACTTAAGAGTTTAGATGTGGATTTTCTGGTCATTGAATGTTTCCAGATGAACAAAGAACTCAAGATACACTGACACATTTACAGAGCTCCTGGCCAGATTAAGCCATACATGATCTCCCCCTGCCATATTCAGATGATTCTTATTCCTAAACCAAAGGAAGAAAATGCACTCACACATGCATACACACACACACACACACACACATATATAAAAAGAAGAAGAAGACAAAGAGGAAGAAGAAGAGGAAGAGAAAAAGGCAGAGGAATAAGAAGAATGAAGGAAAGAAAGAGGAAAAGAGGGAGGGAGGAAGTGTCTGGGAGGGGGGATAATAAAATGTTCTTAAATTGCTGAGGCTGGCCTTGAACTTTCAAATCTTCCTACTGCAGCCTCCTCAGTCACTCTGATTACAGGTGTGCTCCATCAGGTCTGACTAAATAAACACTTCAATAAAATAGAAATGGGAGGAATTGCAATGAAAATAGGGAGGGAAGGTAAAGGAGAACAACTCATGAATATACATATTTACATTAAAAAGTTGAGGCTCCTGAAAAAGACACTATACATAATGTGGCATTAATTCCATTCATTTGCCCTTTAGACAGAAAAATCTGAGGAAATTTAGATAGCTTTTGATGCAGGAAATCTAGACATATATTAGCCATAGGACTCTCTTTTTCTCAACACAACCTGCTCCCCTTATTTGTTTCACTACTTAGCTATGTATGCTTGAAAATTTAGCTTTTCCATCCAGCTCCAGGATGAATTAGCTTATGGACTTAAGAGTATGATGCAGTACCACTGAGTCTGGTCTTTAAAACCAGTCAGTCCGTATGCAGAGAACTAGCTAGGTTTAGTGACCCTTTCAGGCAATCCTAAAGAAGCAAGAGACTGAGAGAAGAAAAATAGATGTTTGAGGCCATCCTAGGCAACATAGCCAGATCTTATCTCAAACACAAGATAAAAAGGACTGAGAGGAAGCTTAGTGGTAAAGCCTAACATTCAATCATGAAAATCATCAAAAAACAAAATAAAATAAATAAGTGCAGAATTAGACCCAGTAATTGCATGGTTTTGATTTTTTTTTTTTATTTTTAGGAGACAGAGTCTCTCTGAGTTGCTTTGCACGTTGCCCTTGCTGAGTCTGGCTTTGAATTCAAGATTGTCCCGCCTTGACCTCCCAAGCCACTGGGATTACATAGGTACACCACTATGCCTGGTTAATTTGTGTATGTTTATTTGAAATAGAGAAAGAATTTTTACAGTGAATTAAAACTAGAAAGAACTAGAGCCTCACTTCTGTCCTACCTCATCCACCCATCCTTTCCCTAATTCAATCAAAACCAAGGAATTTCCAAAATGCCTTCAGGATTGGTCCATTTGCACCTTAATCCTATCATGTGGTAAGCCATTGTTATAGATCCTGGCCCCCATTAGAAGATGGCAGCGGCTTCCACTGTGGCCTGTGATAAACAACTCCTTTTATGGAGAGTTGGCGCGCAATCCCTGACCACCCTATGAGAAAGATCCACGTGGCAGCTTAAGATTGGTATGCGGGAGGCTTTATTAGGCTATGCTTGGGTGCTCGGCGGGGAGTCGCTAGAAGATGATACTTGAATCAAGGCCTGAATAAACTGCTGAAAGAAGAATCCTGTGTCGTGTTTTCCCTTGCCGGCGAGGGGTCGCGACACTATCAGGTTCTTCAATCAATTTATGATGCAAATGAATGTCCCTCCCACATGATTGGGTATGATTTCTGAGGTCAGCTGCAGGACAGAACAGTATGAAAAACTGCAGTCCATACCAGAATGAATGAGTTGCTCCTTGTCCTAGGCCAGGTACACACCTTGGCATGGTAGGGAAGCTGAAGCTATGGCAGTCTGTCTGTCAACCTGGGGATCATTGACTCTTAGGAGATCTTATCTAGAGCCTCTCATTCTCCCAGGCCTGAACCCAGAAAAGGGGTGGGCCTGGGCACTGGATAATTTTCCTGCACTGAGCTGCCACTCTTGCCAGTGTCTCCAGAGCTGCCAAGATGTGAATTTTCCAGTAAGCCAGCTGCACCACTGGGCTTACACAGAGCAGGGAGCTGTCTGGGGAACTGAGGTAGTGTACTAACAGAATATGTGGTTACACAGAGGGAGTTAAGATGGACCAGCACCGAGTTCAAGACCTTAGGATCCAGCAGCCAATGGCTGAAACCTCTCAGGAGCTCTAGTCACCTCAAGAAGATGCAAGCACTACCACAAGTGGGGCACAGTGAGCCCTGAACCTCCCAGGAGGTGCCAGTGCCTGTGCAATTGGACTGACACAAACTCAAGCTGTCTCCTGGAGCCCAGGTGGTCTCTGGAAGCTGCTGAAAACCGAGGTTTACATTCCAGAGGAACCAAGAAAGGAAAGGAACACCATATTGAGGATGCCTTGAAGTACAATGCCCTTCAGCCAAAGCCCTGGAAAGAGCCTGACAGACTCCAGTGGAGACCCTCATACTGTCCCTGTGGACTCATGCACTGGGACTGGGCCCTGCATGCCTAGGAGCCTTGAAGTCTTGGCTGTGCTGATAATCCCTTATTTTGTTCTTTCTCTCCTGAATGATTTAAAGGTTCTTGAATAAGAAAAACTCTTTCTGTAATTAATTTGTTAAGGAACTCTTCTTTTAGATGGACTGAGAATTCTCATAGTTTCTAATCTGATTAAATTTTTCATGATGATTAAAGCCATTCCTTTATTCACTGCTTATCTGTTGATCTTGAGGGGGTGAGTAGAGGGTCAGGATGGGAAGCTGTATACATAGGTCTGGAGCAGGAAGGAGATAATTACCCAGGTCAGAGCTGTGGCCTGAACCAATGGGAATCTCTGGAGATATGAGGGTAGTGTGGTAACAGAATTTGTAGATGGGTGGCCACTTGCTGGTGTTTCTTCAAAACTTAATGAGACCTTCCAGAGGAGGGTAGAGAATCGGCATCAATAAATATCCTTTAAATGGTCTACAGTTACTTTCTTATTAACTAAGATAGGACACTAAAATGAAATCTCTAGTCTTGGGCCTCTGAGTTGACAACCATGGGATCCAAGACATCAGCTCTAGGTCAGACTGTCCATGCAGTGACAGAATCCTGCTCTGGTGATTTGTGTCCAGTGTAAGAGACTTCATAGATTGTACTTCAAGATCACCAAAACTGAAGGCTTGTGTGTGGGGTCACATGCCTAATGTCAGTTTGCTCAGGTGGCTTTAGCAAACTATCATCAGCAGAGTGTCCTGATGTGTACCCTTAGTCCAAGCTACACAGGAGACTCAGACAGGAACATTGCTTGGGCCCAGAACTTTGAAGCCACCCTGGGCAACAGAACAAGAAACTGTCTCAAAAATTAAAAAGATAAATTACACTGGGCTGAGCTTCAAGGAATGTAAATGCCTTCATTAGCATGGACATGGACTTTTAAACTTTCCTGTTCCCTGAAATACAATAGGTTTTAAATTGAGGGGATTTGGATTTAGAGGGGCCTAGGTGCTAGGTCATACTGAACAGTGGGATCACACCTGTTTGCCTTGTTTTTCTCATCAGTTTAATTGAGTGTCAATTGTCCATGGCAGGGAATGGTAGTAGAGGTCAAAGTGGAGTTGGAGTATTTATGTTGTTATAGTTAAGGCTTGGTCCCGGGGTTTCATAAATTAACTTCCAGACCACTCATGTATAATCAAATCAAGACTTTATTGAAGCACACCAGTGGCCACTGGCCAGAACATATAACTGTTCCCCTGGTCATCCCAGAACAATTGCAAGGGCACTCTTTATAAGCCTGAAAACCACAAAAAGGACATTTCGAGGGTGTAGCCAATGCAAGCAAGCCAAGTTACAGAAGTGGGAGAGTGCAGTCAGGTGGAGGGATGTGTAGCCAATCATAAGTAGCCCAGTTACCCCTGTTACAAAAACAGAGCCCCATTACACTAGTTATAGTTAGTTCCTTGTTCTTAAAGGTAGCAAAAGGAAAAGAACATCTTACCCTGATCATGACCCTTCTACTTGGCATGGTTGTTTTACAAAATGTAGTTACTAAACAAAATGGAGTCATGTTGGCTTGACTATCACAATGTGGTTCAGACATAGAGACAGGATTCTAATGGAATCATCCTTTCTTCTAAAAACCTAAAGTCTAAATCAGTTTTTCTTCCTCTCCCTCTCCTCATTGATATTCTTGCACCCTGGGGACAAGTAGAGGATTAGACACCACAATAAAGAAAGGAGGCTGGGTGTAGTGGCCCAGGCCTGTAATCCCAGGGATTGGAAGTCTGAGGAAGGAGGAAAACAAGTTCAAGGCCATCGACAGTAAAATAAGGAATCCTTCTCTCTCTCTCTCTCTGAAACACACACACACACACACACTCACACACACACAGATGCAGTTGAGTTTAGAGATATTGTGAAGCTCTTGGAACCTGCACCACCAAGGGGGGTAAAAACACAATGTGTCATGACCACATATGTCATAGTGCAAAGTTTTCAGACCTTGTGAAATGTTATGTTTTACAAATGTAGTTGTACAAAAGGACATCTTTTCATTTTTGAGAACCTTTCATTGCTTTTACACACAAACCATGCCTACTAAAATATTGAGCATTGTAATAATGTACTTTCCTTTGGTTAAATTTACATAAAACAAAATTAGAACTCTCTAAAAATCTTTATGCTTTCAGTATTGAAAATGATGGGAAGAAATACAAAACATAGCACATGATAAAAAACTTTATGTGGGCAAAAATAAAATAATAAATAAAAAAGAAAGAAACTGGCATTTAAAAGTGTTGGAGTTTTTTTTGTTTTGTTTTTTTGTTTTTCTCTTGGAACCTGGGGTGCTTTAGCACTGAGCTACATCTCCTGCTTTATTTATTTATTTATTTTTATTTTTTGCTTATATTTATTTTTTAGTTCTCGGCGGACACAACATCTTTGTTTGTATGTGGTGCTGAGGATCGAACCTGGGCAGCACGCATGCCAGGTGAGCGCGCTACCGCTTGAGCCACATCCCCAGCCCTCCTGCTTTTTTTATATTTGAAAAGATTCTCACTAAGTTTCTTGTGGCCTCACTAAATTACTGAGGATAGCCTGGAACTTGTGATCCTCTTTTCTCAGCCTTCTGAGTAGCTGGAATTACAGACATTTTAGGGGGTGATAATTGGCAATTGCATAGAAGTAGTACACAAAGCTGGCAGACTTTCTCAATCATGAATACTATTTCAAAATATTACATTTAAATGAATGGTGATTTTAAAAAATTAAGGCATGACACTCCTTGGAGATTATGTTCACATTCATTTTCTATATGGTATTATTTTTCTGAAACACAATCAAAGTCACATGATTTTGAATTAAAAAATGCTCCATAAAACAATCTCTGTTGGATATGTTTGAGGGACAGAAGTCACAGTGTCATTTTTATTGTCACAATTTTTGTTCGCTATGATCCAAGTAGAAGTAGTTCATATCATAAGGACCCTAAAAATGTACATAAAACTAAACACTCCTTCACAAACTTGCATCTTAACAATGCATTTGGGCCAAGCGAACTCTGCTTTGGAGTGGGTTTATAACTTGGCCCCTCTAGAGACAGAGCCCCACCTGCTGCTAACACAAATCACTAGGATACCAGGTAGGGCTCACCCATCCAATAGGCAAAGTGTCTAGTGCCTTATAAAGTGTCTAGGGTCCTACAAAATTTCTTGTGAAACTGAAAGGAAAAAAATAATTGTCATGCATAATATAACATTTGATATATAATATTAACATTTGCCGCAGTCTGGCTGGGCACAATCAGGAGCCACTTGTCAAAAGAAACTAACTTTATTTTTAGAACCACACACGACAAACAAAATAGTCTCTCAGGAAAAACCCTCAGAGCCTCAACTGCCACCACCGGCTTTCCACAAGCCTCTCTCTCCCACACAAGCTTCTCTCCACCTCCCACCATCCTCCTGCTCTTGAGGCCGATTGGCTGGGTCACGTGGGCGGAGCCAAAAAAGTCCCCCAATGAGCAGCTCCGTGGTCTGAAAGGGCAGGGAAACAGTCCAATGAGCATCACCGCAGAGGAGCCAATCAGCTAGATGTTGCTGGGGCCGAGGAGCCAATCAGCTAGATGTTGCTGGGGCCGCTGTGAGCCAATCATCAGCCAGCAGCTGGAAGTTTGCTGGCAGCTGGAAGTTTGCTGGGGCCCCTTTGGCTGTGGCTCTCAACATCTCCCCCTCTCTGTTTAAACAACAAGCATGTGGCTTAGGGACCGTGCCTGTTAGGCAGTCCAATTCAACATATGGTCCTTACCCGTCATCGGATGAACTGACCTCTAGGCGTCAGCCTCCTGTCTTAGGTTGGTACCACTGCAATTGGATCATACCCGTCACTGACTACCGGTCCAGCATACAGCCATACTTGTGGATAGGCCTTTGCACCTGTGGGGGGGTGAGGTTCTTTGCCTCACCTCTGTTGGCCCCCAAATTTTAGACCATCACTAGTAGAGGAGGATGCAAAATGCCATGACATTAAGCCAATTGAGGGCTCCTAAATTGTACCACCGGTGACACCATCAGCAAAAATACTCCAGCACTACCACAAGTCACTGCACCAACAGATAGTTCACAATGCATACAGGTGAGCTCACAATGTGTCCAGGCAAGTTCTGCAAGCAGTTCAGTGATGGCTATTGTAGAAGCTGTAGATTGGTTTTATCTTTGACTTCACCAGCACTGGGATGAAGATAGGAATTCTGGCAATAATGGCTAAAGAAAAAATTATGTAACATTCCAGAAGGCACTAAAAGAAAACAATTTTCTTAACAATTTACATTATCTTTAAGAGAATTATTAAATATAATGAAAAGGAAAGGTGAAAGTAAACAAACAGATCTGTTAACCTTCTTTTTTGTTTACATATTAAAACAATCCTCAACAGTTGTTTACCCAATTTAAATTAAACCATATAAATCACGTGAAAAAAAAAATATTTGGATCCATTTTATCATGAGCGCTCATCATATATGATATATGGACATACGTACATTCAAACATATAACACAAAACACAAGTGTGCACACATAATATAATACATACAACACATAACATTATAGTAAAGGCCTTATAACTTTTTACAGGTGAAATCTCCATTGCAATGTTTAAAAACTCTATAGTCAAAAAATAGAACTGATCAGCAAAACATTAACCTAGGTCTGTATGAGCTCAAAAAACAAAATAGAACTTCATGATATGGCAAAGGGCAATAATAAAATAGATATTGAAAAAAGCATCCTGGTTCTGTTGCAGATGTAAGAATAGCCAAACTGGAGTTTTGGATATCAGTTGTTATGGATTTGAGCCAAATCATCTTCTTTTTGGTCTGTAGAAATCGCTTTAGTTAATCTTTCTGGAATCCAAATCGGCTGCTGTTCTCCCTGTGGAAACACATAAACAGACCCCCGACTCCAGACAATCACTGGGTCAGGACCTTGGTTAATCTCTCTGGAATCCAAATTGGCTGCTGTTCTCCCTGTGGAAACACACAAACAGACCCCCGACTCCAGACAATTACTGGGTCAGGACCTTTCCATTGTCCTGTTAGAATATCCTTCCAAAGTACCTTGGGCTTATGTACATTTTTTGGACACATATGCCTTTCCGCAGCACTAAGTCCTGATGAATCCAAATTTAAAAAGTTTAGAGTAAAAAGGGTTATTTTAAGTTTATCTTTGGGGAATATATACCCCTTCCCAATTCCTTCTTTTTGCTTTAATAAGTACATTTTAATAGTTTGATGAGCTCTTTCAACTATGCCTTGTCCCTGTGGATTGTATGGGATTCCTGTTATATGAGTAATGCCAAATGTTGAGCAAAATTGTTTAAAAGAGGTAGAAGTATAACCAGGGGCATTATCTGTTTTTAACTGTTTTGGAACACCCACAGTGGCAAAATTTTGTAAGCAATGAGCTATAACATCTTTAGTTTTTTCTCCGGCATGAAGGGAGCCCATCAAAAATCCAGAAGAAGTATCAACTGTAACATGCAAATATTTTAATTTTCCAAATTCTGGCAAGTGTGTGACGTCCATCTGCCAAATATGGTTAGGTATCAATCCTCTAGGATTGACTCCAAGATTAACTTGTGGTAAAAAGGTCACACAATTTTGACATTGTTTTATTATTTGTCTAGCTTGTTCCTTAGTTATTTTAAAACGCTTTTGTAAAGTATTAGCATTGACATGGAACTTTTTATGAAAATTTATAGCTTCTTCTAGTGTAGAGAAAATATGTATGTCATGTGTAGTTTTATCTGCTAAATCATTGCCCAAACTAAGGGCTCCAGGCAATCCTGTATGTGCCCTGATATGTCCTATAAAGAATGGATCTTTTCTGTCCCAGATTAGACTTTGTATAGTGGAAAGCAAAGAGAAAACAGTAGAAGAAGGGGAAATCCTACCAGCATCTTCAAGGGATACTATAGCATTAACTACATACTGACTATCAGAAAATAAATTAAATACAGAATCTTTAAACATCACAAAAGCTTGTAAAACTGCATTAAGCTCTACCTTTTGAGCTGATTGTTTGGGTACTAAAAATGTAAAAGTTTGATCAGGGGTAACTACTGCTGCTGTACCATTATTTGACCCATCAGTGAATATATTTGGAGCATTCATGATAGGTGTTTTTCTTGTCATTTTTGGAAAAATTACAGGATGCAATGACCAAAAAGACAATAAAGGATTAGATGGTAAGTGGTTATCAAATGAAACATTAGATTTGCACATGATTATTGCCCAAGTATTTAACTCATTAGCTAACTCATCAATTTGATTCATAGTATATGGAGTAATAATTTTATTGGGAGAAATTCCAAACACTCCCTTTGCTGCTTTTATTCCTTTGAGTATTAATTGTCCTACAGCCTCAGGATACCTAGTAAGAATAGTGTTAGGAGAATAAGATAAATGTATCCATAATAATGGACCTTCTTGCCAAAATACTCCTGTAGGAATATTTTTTGTTGGTAGTACAATAAATAATAAAGGCAAACTTATATCAATTCTATCCAAATGCATATTTTCCATATATGTTTCAATGATTTTTAATGCCTTTCTTGCTTCAGGCGTTAACATTCGGGGTGAATTTGGATCTGATGGACCTTTTAGGATATCAAATAAAGGTCCCAACTCTCCTGTTGGTATACCTAAATAAGGCCTTATCCAATTTATGTCTCCTAATAACTTTTGAAAGTCATTAAGTGATTTGAGTTGATCTACTCGTATTTGAATTTTTGGTGGACGGACCATGGTTGAGGATAATAGAACTCCTAAATAATTAATTGGAAAATTTAATTGTACTTTATCTATTGCTATCTCTAGATTATAATTTTTTAATAAGTTTGTAAGTGTGGCATAACATTCTAGCAATGTGTTTTTATCTTTGTGTGCTAATAATACATCATCCATATAGTGAAATATTTGTAGTTCAGGATTTTGATTTCTAAGTGGCTGGATTACTTTGTTAACATAAATTTGACACATAGTTGGGCTGTTAGCCATCCCTTGAGGGAGTACTTTCCATTCATATCTCTGATCAGGACCTTCATGATTCAGTGCAGGGATAGTAAATGCAAAACGTGGACTATCCTCAGGATGAATTGGAATTGAAAAAAAACAATCTTTAATATCTATAACTAAAACATACCAGGTTTTTGGCAAAGCAGACAACTGAGGAATCCCTGATTGAGCAGGTCCCATAATAACCATCTCATTATTAATGGCTC